TTCCATTCCTGGATCCCGGATCCCATGGCTCTGCTCCCAGGGTCCTGGCTGCCAGCCCCTGCAGCTGAGGCTCCACTCCTGGCTCCACATGTGAGGTCCTGGCTGCCGGCCCCGTGCCCGGGACTCTGCTCCTGGCCCCATGCCTGCCCCCAGCTGTGGCCCCGGCCTCAGCCCCCTTACCCCTGCCTGGGTCAGCGCCCTCCCGGAGACACGACCCTGCTCCTGGCCCCAGCTCTGGGGGATGGAGGGGGTTCGGACAGGGGCATGAGGGGGCATGGGGGGGGCATGAGGTAAAAAGTAAAAGTTACTTTCAGCTCCCCCACTATTAAATATTCCAGCACCACCGGTGAAAACGCAGGATTTCAGTAGCATTACAAAAAGTAATTTGCACACCTTGTGAGAATTTGCTACATTTTTTGGTACTAGTTAATGAAAATGGGCAATAGACTAAAGTACACACAGTGTCATTGCCATTGGCTTCAGCCATTAGATCATAGTTTCAACAACCTTTCTGTCCCTAGAGCTTTATTTTATTGCTGTAGCCCTCCAAACCAATCACTATTTATTACAAATTCAGTGCTGTCACTTTAAAAGACTATGGGACCTGTAGTGCTGGTGTAATTATGCAGGGTCAGAGTTGTGAAAACTGACATTTCAAAAGAATCTCACTGAGGGGATTCTTGAATTGAATTGTATTGAGAATTGGGTTTAAAAGGACAATGTAAAAATGTGTCCAAATTAAAAAAAACCCAAACAAGCACACCCATATAAAACCAGAGACGAATAACAATGGCTCCAAGATTGTATTTTCAAAATACAAATAGGAGCAGTTGTGTGTAAATATAAACATTCACCGATTCTGTTTGAAACACAGACTTGCAGCGCTAAAAATTGAAACTGAAACTTACTTAATTGATTATCTTGTCAAAACAGAGACAAATGCAGAAAATAAACAGACCATCTATAATCTAAGGAATTATTAATGTCGGTCAGCATATATGTTTATTTTGTTACCTTTTTTTAAAAAAAATGCTATGGTAGTCTGCATAATCACTGAGTGTGAAGCTCTTCATTTTTGCAGACTATAAAAGTTAAAGATACATAGAATACATGTTGGGTGTGGTAGAAAGGGTGTATCAGTGTAAGACTGGAATGAGCACAAGAATATTGAAGTCATGAGTGAGTTATGCAGGTTATCCCAAATGAGTGTCAATAAAACTTTGATACCACAACACACCATCATGTATTCTGCATCTGCTATGTTTTATGGAATTTCTACTTTAGAAATGTACATAGTACCTGAATAACATTTTAAAGATGATCTATTGTATTCCTCCAACTGTAAAACCAAACTCACCATTAGTTCTGCTGTACAGGCTAGAAAAGGAAAGGAAGGTTATAAATAATACATCTTAGAAACCTTAAAATTACCCAGAATAGCTTTGCTCTTGTAGACATAACATGATATTTTGTGACCTAATTTTTTAGAATCAACTAGGGCTAGCAGTTGGGTACCTCCCCTTTTTTCTTCAAGAGCCTCTGTCTATTCTAATGTGTGGGATATGGTGCCTCTGATATCAAGTTATAAAATATATATATATATAGAGAGAGAGAGAGAGAGACCTATCTCATAGAAGTGGAAGGGACCCTGAAAGGTCATTGAGTCCAGCCCCCTGCCTTCACTAGCAGGACCAGGTACTGATTTTTGCCCCAGATCCCTAAGTGGCCCCTTCAAGGATTGAACTCATAACCTTGGGTTTAGCAGGCAATTACTCTTCTGCTCCTCTAATTCTGGAGTTGCTGGAACCTGTAATGGCTCTCAGTGTAATTTGGAGTTTAAGGATTGTTCTAATTTGTGCTAAATTGAGCAGTTCCATAGGGTGGAGCACTTCAGAGTTTCTCCTGGAGTATTGCATGGTCCAGCCTCACCTCTCCTCCTCCCTTATATGAAGTGAAAAAATGAGTAACCAGAACCTTTATGTCCCTTGAGGATTCCTCTACATCGGAGTAAAGCCTCAGCTTTCTGTCTGCATCGTGGTGCCTTAGCAGGGTAAAGCAACTGGATCTCACCAATTTTTCAGGGGTTTCACCAAAAAAGCCAGGGATAACATTGGGTAAAAGGGGTAGTGGTACTCTTCAGCTCCACCCACAAAATAAGCCCTATCTATGTGATTCACCAAAACTAGACACTACTCACAGTAGGTTGTGCAGCTGTTGAAAATAGGATTGAGTGTGCTCTCAGCTCTATTGGACTGCTCAAGCTTGGCTTGGGCTTGAGTATGCCCATGGCCTCTGTTAAGCTAGTTGGGCATAGTTCCTTCTTGACTGAGAAATGAATGGTGGTACGTCCCATATGCCATGCTGAAGCAAGACCATGCATATCTAGGCCATCCTGGCAGCTATTTGTGTAACCTGTTCTCAAAAATGTTCAATTATGGGGATTCCACAAACACCTTTGGGAGTATATTCAAGTATTTAACTATCCAGTTTAGAAAGTTGTTCCTAATACTGAGCTTAAATCTCCTTTGCTGCAGATTGAGCCAATTACTTCTTGTCCATGCTTCAATGGACATGGAGAACAATTGATCACTGTCCTCTTTATAACAACAGTTAGCATATTTGAAGACTATCAGGTCCTCCCTTAGTCTTCTTTTCTCAAGACTAAACATGGACAGTTTTTTTAACCTTTCCTCATAGGTTAGGTTTTCTAAATCTTTTATTATATTTGTTGCTCTCCTCTGGACTCTCTCCTATTTGTCCATGTTTCCTAAAGTGTGGTGCCCAGAATTGGACACAGTACTCCTGCTGAGGCCTCACCAGTACGAAGCACAGTGGGACAATTACCTCCTGTATCTTACATATAATGCTCCTGTAATACACCTCCAAATATTAACCTTTGTTGCAACTGCATCACATGGGTGACCTCATATTCAATTTGTGATCCACTGTAACCCCCAGATCCTTTTCAGCAGTATGACCACCTAACCAGTTATTTCCCATTTTGTATTTGTGCAGCTGAATTTGCTTTCCTAAGTGAAGTACTATGCACTTGTCTTTATTGAATTTCATCTTTTTGATTTCAGACCAATTCTCCAATTTATAAATTTTGAATTCTAATCCTGTCCTTCAAAGTGCTTGCAACTCCTTCCCGTTCCACAGATTTTATAAGCATATTCTCCATTCCACTTTCAAAGTCATTAATGAAAATGGTATAAATAATACTGGACCCATGACAGGTCCTTGCGGTTCCCCAATATATGTGTCCTTCTAGTTTGACAGTAACTACTCTTTGTGTACAGTGTTTAAGTGATTATGAACCCACCTTATAGTAATTACATTTACACCACATTTCCCTTGTTTACTTATGAGAATGTGATGTGGAGCTGTGGTAAAAACCTTACTTAAATCAAGATATATCCCCTCTGCAGCTTCCCCTCAATCCCATCCATTGGCCAGTAATCTTCTCAAAGATTCAAATTAGTTTGGAAATAGAAGGAAATGGCCATATCATTATCAAACAAACAAGAATGTAAACAAATGAAGGAAGGCAATGAACATAGTCTTTCCAGCAAAGGGTAGTTGTAACTGCTCAGCCCACATATAAGCCACACGTGGTACTGAATGGCAGACACCAAGGTCAAAACCAAATTCTGGGAACTTGTGCAGAAATACTATCCGGCTTACCCAGGCATGTACCACAAGCCATGCTCCACCTCCATAGAGATGGTTAGAGCCCCTACTGAGAGACTCCAGGCAGTTTCTGCCAGTGGGTCTCTTAGTCAGAGCTGCATATTGAACCCAGGGGCAGTGGAACAAGTGGGGCAGAGGGGCGCAAAGTAAACATTGTGGGGACTGAACTTTGTTTCTGCCTCCGTATCCATGCTTCAGTCCCAGCTCAGCTGCACTTCCCCTCTGACACGACCTTATGCCACCCAGTTCCAGTTACTGCCTCCCCATTGGCTGATTGTTTGGGAGTTGAGAGCTAATCAGGTTCTGGGCAGCCACTTCCCCAGCAGTGTGTGGGGACAGGCACACCTACACCAATCAGGAGGCAGTAACTGTATATTCATATGAGGGGCAGAGGCAAGAGCAGAACCCGGAGGTGCAGGAGCGGCCACCCCAGTGCCCATGATTGGGCTGGAGAGCAGAAACCAGGGTGATCTCTCCACCTTCTATTCCTCCACACACACCCATTCACGTTGTTCTTTCACTGCCTCTACATTGAATCCCACATTTATGGGAAATAGTTACTCCTACTTTCCTACTGTGCCAGCCAGAGTTGCTGAATAAATTTACCTTCTGCAAAGACCATGTCCCCACCAAAGTTGCAACATCATAAGCTTGAGCTAGTGGAAACCCAAATAGGATTCTAGCTTGATCTGAACAGAAAGAAAATGCAATGGCTAGTCAACATAACAATAACATACAGTAAGCAATTAAATGGCAATACAAATATCCCAAGGATAAGGGACAACTGTTTGGATAAGACATCTACCAAAGCACATGGATGGTGGGAGGAGAATGTGAGTGGCCCTTTGCTCTTCCCCCAGCTTCTCATAATGAGGCTTAATAAGAGGGACTCTTAGAGTCAGAGGTATGACCTTTGGTAGAGTGTGACACAAAGCTGGGCTCTGATTGGTCACGATGGTTAAGGAGCCCTTTTAATCCATCCAGGGAAACCCCTGGCAAATCCATCTGCCCTGTGAATGGGTGAGACTGGTTGGTGGTCAGGGCGGTCAGGTTTAGAGGATGACAGAACTGAATTAAGAATGGTTACTTAACTTGTTTGCTACTGCTGAAAGGAAAATATCATCATTAGCATTCAGATATTGAAAGAGCATAGTATTGTTGAAGTATATCCTTAAAATTGCATATCTGTACATGTCAGCATTTGGAAAATGTTGGTAATTTGTATAGGAACCCATCAATGAAAGCAAGTGGGTTAAATGTGACAGAACACTAATACTGATGAATGTCCTCCTTTGTTGTTTTTGTTTCAGTTTACAAGCCTTGCGAAAGGAAAAGTCCCGAGATGCTGCTCGCTCTCGCCGGGGAAAGGAAAATTTTGAATTCTATGAGTTGGCAAAGTTGTTGCCGCTCCCTGCAGCCATTACAAGTCAGCTTGACAAGGCATCCATCATCCGACTTACAATTAGCTATCTGAAAATGAGGGACTTTGCTAATCAGGGGGATCCTCCGTGGAACTTGAGAATGGAAGGACCTCCACCCAACACATCAGTAAAAGGTATGAAAATAGAATATTGTTTAGTATGGATTGTGGCAGCCTGTAGTAATATCTAAATTGAAATTTTTACCATCATCCTTTCTTCTTTCCCTGCATATCAAATCCTTTAAAGGGATACAAATGTGGAAATCTGAGGTCTGCATGAGAAAGACACCATGTGAAGGTGAAATAAACCTCTTATTCTATTTATATTTTATTTAAAAACAAACGTTGTCAGTATAACTATGATAGCAGGTTTCTGGGAGATGGAGATTAAATGATTTGTTGTAAAGTGATTTGCCGTTATTGTGTTTTTGTTTCTTTTCATACTGTACAAAAAGATGATTTTGGGTGGAGCATGGTAACATTTCTTGGCTTGGGGTCATTTATTGTATGGTATATTAAAAACTGAATTCAGGTTAATAGTAAATTCAAGCACTTCAAATTTTGTCGGTCACCAAAATGAAGACCTGAATTTCATTTATTTTCTTACCATTTATTCATAAAATATTTTGACCTCTAAGCTAATGTAGTTAGACATTTAGCCAAAATGGATCTAGTTTCAAATGTGAGCATCTAAACTGTGTGTTCAAATGAGCAGTTAGATAAATAAAATGGGTATTTCTGACCTGTGTACCCATTGGAGCACCCAAGCCCAGGGGCTGTTAGCCTTACTTTAGAACCCATATATGTAAATCCGTCTTGTACAGTGTTTCGGGTGATATGTATAATCTTTTAAGACTGACATTTTTAGTGTCATCTTTAAATCCTACCTTTTCTCAGGCAGATAAGTGTGATCTCCCTTTCTGTTATAATTAATGTAACAATTTTTAATGAAGTTAGAAATACTGAAAGCCTTTAAAAAAGTGGTTGTTAGATCTCTGGTCTGCCTTTGGCAGAACTGAATTTCATTCTGTTTTATTTTGGCTATTAATTTTTATGTTTTAGAGGAGACGTATTCTAGATTGAGCAGGATATCATCAACCCTTCATTTTCTATCTGTTGTCATTAGTTATACACTTGAAACACTGGACTGGACTATATGGTATAAGGCTGTATGTAGTTAGAGGCATCAGAAGTGGCAACCTCTAAGGGACAAATAGGAATCTCTGACTTTGTAGGTCAGCACTTGACAGCTGACTATTAGTATTGATATTAATACTGATATTAGCATTAGCTATGTAGGCAGCTTTCAGTTGCCCTTCTTGCTAGAAGAAAGAATATTAGATGAAAAATGTCATAATTTTACACTGGAAGGAGGTAGACAGGGAGGGCAAAAAACAACGGACTTTCAGACTAATGATCTAGGGATCATACATGTATTTGTCCCTATTCATATATGTCCATTTATACCATCTGCCATGTAATATTTTTCCTGAAAGAATGGAAATGGCATCATTCAAAGTATAAGAATATGACTAGTTATCATCATGCTTGTGATATCAAAAATATGCAAGTGTTACTCTCATATCCTTTCATTCTGAAAAGTATGTGTTCTCATGCACTGGGATAGCTGCTAAATACAGTAAGGCTGTTACAGTAGTGATGTAAAGTAAGTGGGTTATTGTTGTCTGTTGCATCTGTAATCTACCTGTTGAAATAACACATGCAGCCCTATACAATGCTATTACAGGCTCTCCTGTCGTACAGAATGCCTGATTTCTTCAGGTCTGTGGGTCATGGTTTAAAAAATCTTGTGTAAATTTTCTTAGTATACGCTCTCCTTTTTCAATGTCCTGTTTTGGAATAAAAAAATATATTTGAACACTGGTCACTGTCAGACAGGAACATATTTAAATATAAGCACTCTGGCTCAGGTTCACCCACGCCTCTGCCTACAAAAAAGCAGAATGAAACATTTTAATGCTGTGTCTCCACCCAATTGGAGGCTCTACTGCTGCAATTTTAGAAGAAGTCCTTTTTTTTTTAAGTGGAAGTTCACTATTACTAAGTAGGATTTTATTTTACACATTGCAGTGCCTTGAAATAATGTGGAGCTTTCACTCTACTTCACTGTATTAGTAAATAGTGTTTCATTATATGTGAATTCATTATAAGCAGGTTCAACTGTACATTGCATGTATATTTTATTACTTCACTAGTTCTCCTTGAACATAAACCTGTTACGCATTCCGATCAAACATTCGTGAAATTACATCAAAAGAAATTCATTTTCATTTATTAAGGTCTTTTTCTGCTGCCCTTGAAGAAGTTCATATGGATAAACAAGCTCTCATAAATAGCCTGCAGCATCATATGAAGTGTGGTTCATAATCCTACAATAAAACGCAAGACATTGTACTTTGTGTGTCCCCAAGCAATTTCTTGAATAGACCCTAAAGGCGTTTGGAAAATTATATGAGAAGTACTTACACTGTGTAGGCGACTGCTTTCCCCCTCCCCCCCCCTTCAAATGTGATGGTCTGTTCATGTTAATAATTAAATTTCAAAGCTTAGTTTTAAATTTGTCCTCGACTATGTACAGCAATTTAATCATTTTAATTTAGTATTTCAGAAAGGTCCTTTACTCTGCCCTGTATTCATCACAGCTTTTCTTAAAAGTCTGTAAAGGCTGATGAGTTTGTTTTCTTATGCTCATTTTGTATACATTATTCCAAGTTGCGGTTGCAAAAAGAATGCTTAGGTGATGCTGTGTAATATTTCCAGAGTCAATTACTTCATGGAAATGATACGTTAAGCAATTGGAAAGTAACAGATAGTTTTCTCCATTATTTTAGAAATATCTGTATTGTTATAATACAGATCAAGTCTACAATGAACATTATGCATTATTCAAAAAATGACCAGCCGTTCTCAGCAGTGTTCAGCTAAATAACTGATGATTGTAACCTTTAAAGAAATTTCATTGCGGTAACTATTGGTAAATCACTTCTCCATTCACAGTAATCTTTGTTTAGAGGCTGTCTAGAAACCATTATATCTTTTATTAATCTTAAAAGCAATAGCCACTGATTTGACATTTGCTGAAACTAGATAAATTTTCTGTCTTTCTAATATAGGAAATTTCAGTCAGATTTTTCTGGCCTGTTGTTTAAGACCTTGTTACTTGGGAATATTAGCCATGCTAAGCAATAATTTTTATGTTTTGCAGTAGTGGACTTTAAATATTAAAATTCTTAAAATCAGGAGGAGTGTCCTTATGACAGGCAATAAATATGTACACAAATATATAAAATAAAACATCCATTTATAGACAATAAAAATCAAAGAATAAGCAAGATACTTGTATATACAGTATATACTGAACCATATAGTTTTTAGGGCAAAATAATACTGTCTTTACTTAAACCCCAATATTCAGTGGGTGTCTGTTCATGAGTAAAACAGAACAACTGTTAGCAAATTCCTCAGTATCACAAACGTATATTCTAACAGTTTTGATCTATCTGTAGGAGGGGTTACACATCTGTTTTTCCATAACATGTGGTCAGTGTTTAACCAATAATTGGGACCTTATCTGGGACAATACTTAAATTATTTTGTGCATTCTGGCTGCCAAAGACACAACAGGCTACATAATGTTTTTGTGACCTAAAATTCTAAGAATCATCTTGCTGTCTTGGGATAGCATTTTATGAATCCCATTTATATTTCTACTGAAAGACAAAATGCCCAATGGGTTGTCTGAGAAATTACTCCAAGATTCTGGATGTTTCCTCCAAATGTAACCAACAGTATCACAAATATATGAAAGACCATGAACTTGTGTGTGCAACTCTCCAAGAAGTTATATTTGTTGTCATTGAGAATCTTTTAAAAAACATGCATCAAGGAATGCAACATTTTGCGGTATGTAAAATGTGTTTTGTTGAAGTAAAATCATGTTGCATATCTGGGGTTTTTTTTGGCAAACTTTCTGCCACATCAGTGCTACTCTTCTAATATTTCACAGCCAAATAAATTATGGATGTTAACTCTTCCACTTGACCAGCATGCCTGTCACTTGCCAGAATATGGAAAACCCTTTCTGATACTTTTGAAAAAACAACAACAACCACTTTTGTTCTTTTCACTTGCACATGCTATTCACAACGTATAATATGTGCCCATTTTTGTTATGCTTATCACTGGCCAGTTCCCAAGATGACATCAAATTATTCATTAGATAGAAATCGGACTTTGTTCATGCTGGGTGTTGCTTTTTATCTTTGGAGATTCAAGTGCATGCATAAGGCCATGCGTACAATTTCTTTTTGAATAGCATGACCTATAGGAACTGGAATATGTAGGACAAGTTTGTGACATATCTATCTTTTTATGAAACAGAATTAATTATGGGATTATCCAGGATTTTAAATGGTGACGAATTGGTTGTAGGTTTTTGAACTGGAATATTTACATTTTGATATATATTTTTACAAACAGAAGCAGCCTACCTACTACCATTAGCCAGGTGAATGAATAATTCCAGCTAAGGTGTGAAATGGCCTTCAGTTAAACTGTTTTCAAATGATGGTAACTGAATCAGTGGCATGATGCATGAAGAATGCCACTTTAGCTTGATTACACCTCCTTTTGGCATTCCTCAGTCTGAAACAGGATAATCTTACTGATCTGTGATCTGGAGTTAAGAATATTTGGCAGTTTGGAACAAACTCAAATGTCATCATCTAAGTGTTTCAGCCCAAAACAGACCTCTTGAGTCACTTTTCAGTGACAAGCATGTATGGTGGTAAAATGTAGCCTGTAATAATTAATTCCTTGTTACTTAATTTCTACAGTCCTGAGAAAATCAGGATAATCTATTAGTAAGAGCAAAGAATGATTGTTTTTCCTAACTCGGTGTAAAATTTTAATGCTGAGCCATACCTTTCTCTCATTTCTAAATGTGATACACATAATTTTTTTAATATATATATATATATAAATACAAGTTATAATACAAGACTACTCATGATAGTAAAATTGAACAGGTATCTAAATAGTTGCCAGATTGGAGTCATAATGTGAAAATGGGACATCCTATGGTCAAACTTAGGTCTATTTAAAAAAAATGGCACCTTGGGACAGATAAGTCTGTACCTTTATTTTTCAAATAAATTTTTTCGAAGTGAAACTGCCTCTTTTCTTCAGACGACTGTGCTGAAATTTTAAAAAATAAGCACCTCTCAGCGTGAATAAAGTAAAAAATATATGTTGAAAATTAGACATCTTGTCAAATTA